GGAAAAAACTGTTCTTGTGTCTAGTTGTTCTGGTGTGCAGTGCTCTATAGCATCGTTTTGAGGGTAGGAGTTGAAAGAGTTTATGTACAGGATATGAGGGGTCTTTAAATATTTTCACAGCCCTCTTTTTGACTCATGCAGTATATAGGTCCTCAATGGAAGGCAGGTTGGTAGTAATTGTTTTTTCTGCAGTTCTAATTATCCTCTGAAGTCTGTATCTATCTTGTTGGGTTGCAGAACCAAACCAAACTGTTATAGAGGTGCTGATGACAGACTCAATAATTCCTCTGTAGAACTGTATCAGCAGCTCCTTGGGCAGTTTGAGCTTTCTGAGTTGGTGCAGAAAGAACATTCGTTATTGTGTTTTATTTATGATGCTTTTGATGTTAGGTGTCCATTTTAGATCTTGAGATATGGTACGTAGAGGTTCCCCTCGCACATATATGCTAGTCGTTCCCGACTCTAGGGGACGGTGCTCATCTCCGTTTCAAAGCCAGAGAGCCAGCGCTGTCCGAAGACATCTCCAAGGTCATGTGGCCAGCATGACTGAATGCCGAAGGTGCATGGAACACTGTTACCTTCCCACCAAAGGTGGTCCCTATTTTTCTACTTGCATTTTTTACGTGCTTCCGAGCTGCTAGGTTGGCAGAAGCTGGGACAAGTAACAGGAGCTCACCCCATTACGTGTGTTCTGCCCCAGCTATGGACCCCAAAGAATGCAGCACACACAAAGTCTGTACAAACCTTAGTTTACTAAATTAAATCAGTCTTTTTCAAACAAAGGCTGTTAATTAACTTTCTTAACAGCCTACAAGAATCCAAAGAATAAACAATCGTAATCTTACTATGGTTGGCAGAAAGTCCAGAAGCAATTTGCAGAGAACTAAGATCAAGACGCGAAAGAGAGTGAATGAAAGTTGTTCCCTGCAGTCATCCTCCTTCCTTAAATATGCTAAGGGAGTGGCCAATTAGTCCCAAGCCTTACTCTTGAGGAGACCTCCTCCTGAGGACCCACTCCTGCCTTTTGGCAGCTCTGCGCGCCCATGCATCGAGAAGAGGCTCCTCCTCTTCTTCCTCTTCACTTATGGAAGCTTCTGGAGGTTCTGAAGGCCCTGGCTGAATCCCCGCCTCTGGCACCACATCTTCTCCATCCACCTCAGTGTCCAACTCGAGTGCCAGCTGCGCAGGCTGCTGGCGCAGCACCACACCAGCCTCCTCGCTGTTGGAATCAGTTACTAGCTGCACAGGCCGCTGACGGGCCACAACGCGGCACTAGGGATTCGAACCGCTGAACTGCCAACTTTTTGATCGACAAGCTCAGCATCTTAGCCACTGACCCACCGCATCCCTTTGAGATATGGAAGAACCTAGAAATTTGAAGGTCTCTACTGTTGATACTCTGTTGTCTAGTATGGTAAGAAGTGGTAGTAGAGGAGGGTTTCTCCTAAAGTCTACCACCATTTCTACGGTTTTGAGCATGTTCAGTTCCAGATTGTTCTGGTCGCGCCACTAGGCTAGTTGTTTAACCTCCCATCTGTATGCAGATTCATCATTGTCTCGAATGAGACCAATCACTGTTGTGTCATCTGCGAACTTCAGTAGTTTAACAGATGGATTGTTTGAGATGCAGTCATTGGTATATAGAGAGAAGTGGGGAGAGCACAGAGCCTTGGGGTGGGGGCTGTGCTAATTGTACAGGTATCTGATGTGATTCTGCTTAGCTTCACCTGCTGCTTCCTGTCTGTTGGGAAGCTTATGATCCACTTACAAGTGTGTTCAGGTACTGCTAGCTGGTTTAGCTTAGTTAGAAGAATGTTTGGAATGATGGTTCATAATCATACTTTTAATCACAGCGGCCATCTTCTTACATAGATGCAGAAAATTAAATAATTAGTTAAGATCAGGTCTCAGAAGGAGGCAATGGCAAACCATTTTTGAAAAACCTTGCCAAGAATCTTGTCCAAGCAGTCTCCAAGAATTGTGGAGGGAAAAATAAACTGCTTATTTAAGGAACTCAGTACAATATGAGATTCCCAGTTACAGTAAGATACAACTCAAACCTTGAAACTTAAAATGGCAACTTTGCAGACCAAATTAGCATTTGCTAAACAAACTTGCCTGAACTTGCTACTGAGTTCATGGGCTCTTTCTTCCGATTCAACTTTTGACATAGTTAATTGCATGTAGTTGATGGCTTCCATTGAAATCAATGGAAGTTTGAAATATTTAACCTTGGCTCAATCATATCAATAGTTCTCTTCTATGTTGCTGTAGTTAGGATTAGAAATATTTTCTAGAATGGTTTTGGATAAATACCAGGTTTACCTTCAGCTCCACCCCAGCCATGGGAACTCACTGAGAGTGTGAGCTAGTCACTCTCAACCTAACCATCGTCATAGGGAGGTGGTTTCAGAAAAAAAAATATGAATCCTTTGAACATTATCTTGAACTCCAGAAAGGCAATACACAAATAGATTTTTTTTCTTCCATTCAATCATGTCCAATTTTTGGAGATTGCTAAGACAAGGCTCTTGGCAAGGTTTTTCAGAAGTGGACTGAGAGAAAGTGACCAACATAAGATCATCTTGACTGGCTATGTGTTCAAGGCAGGACTAGAACTCATAGTCTTCCAGTTACAATAATTCTTTCACTTATATGGTATAAGTTTATGGGCTTTAATAAGAGAGCCTAGGTCTAGTGATTAAGGCACCTGGCTAGAAAGCAAAGGCCCGTAACTTCAACTCCCGCCTTGGCATGAAAGGCAGCTGGGTGACCTTGGGCCAGTCACACACTCTCAGCCCAATTCACCTCACAGGGTTGTTGTGGGGAAAATAAGAAGAGGAAAGTGTGTTGGATATGTTTGCTGCTTTCAGTTAATTTGTAAAAATAATACAAGTGGGATATAAATAAATAAAATAAATCATAGCATATTTTTAAAAGGGACTTACAATAATTCTCAGGTCCAGACATATATGTGACTTCTACACTTTGAATATTGTTTTGTTTACACTGACACATACTTTTTCTTTTAATGTTTTATCTAAGTAAAAGAGAAAAAAAATCTCTTTAATAGGCGTATCTAATTTCTCAGACCAATCTGTACAGTACTTCAGTTCTAGTAGTTTACTATTGATTGTAAAGTTGTCAGCCACTAGAGGTCAGCAGACTATGCTTTAGTCGACAAAAAAAAACTGGATAACCCTCTTTACCTAAAGGAAAAGTAAAACCAAATTAACCATAGTAACTGTGGCCATACCAGTTTTACAAGCCTTGGAAAATACAGCTGTCTTTTTTTTTAAAAAAATGTGTAGGCTTTTACTTTATTCCAGATTTGAAATGGAGTTTCTATGTAGCAATTAGTCCTTATTCAGAATTCTGAGATTATCTTTTAAATTTTCTTGAGTGATACATGAAACCAGATTTTCTTTCCTTTTCCCTGAATTTATTTCCTTACAATTCAGTCCTAAATAGATTGGCTTAATACATTATGCTAATCCATTTACTAAGGTTTAACCACCACCCCTTCAATTTGCTGGTCCAAAGGTGATGAGCTTCCGGACTAATTGGGTATGGAACTCGTTGCCATTGGATTGATGCTCACACCATGAAAGCCAGCCTTGATACACGTAGTCCTCAATTTATGACCATTCATTGAGTGACCATTCAAAACTATGACAGTGTTAAAAGTGACTTATGTCCAGTCCTCATAATTATGACCATTGCAGCACCCCCTGCCATCACATTATCAAAAATTGGGTTCTTGGCAACCTGCACATTTATAGTGGTTGTAGCCTCCTGCAGTCATATGATTACCATTTGCAACTTTCCCAGTGGGTTTCTGTCAAGCAAAGTCAATAGAGGAAGTCCGATTTACTGAATAACCACAGCAAAAATGTTAATATAATCAGGCATTGTCACTTGAAGGCTCACTTGATTCCATCCAACCCCTTGACAATTGTGGTTGTAAATCAGGGACCACCTGTATACAATTTCCTGCATTTGCACAATATGCTTGCTAATTCATTTGCTATAAGCCACAATTTTGGATTCATGTATCAAACTAAACAAACAAACTTTTCTAGAGCATGAGCCACACTTGCACTCTGAATATATTGCATTTGTAAAACTGCATGAGGTTGCAGTTGAATAGTTAAGAGATGGGACAAAATCCCTAGCTTTAATTTTAAAATATATTTAAACTCCCTCCCCCCCCCCATTTTTGTCATGTTCATTTTTTTTAATGGCAGGTTCTAGAGGCACACTGGTGGTAAGCCAGTCAAATCTTCATTGTGTAAAATTGTTTTGTGCGAAGTTACCAAAGCAGAGTGAATTTAAAACACTAAAATTTATTGTGGTATAAACTTTAATGGGCTTTTAAGCATTAATTAGCACCTCATTCATACATATACAATTTGAGAATAGAGCCCCAATTAAATACTAGTGAATTCACCAATGAAACGTTAAGTATCTTGCCTTGGTGCATGGCAAGCCTTGTTTAGGATACTTGGATTCAAATGTATTCAGCTCATGAGGAGTTTCATCAATAATAATATTCCTCGAGAAAAACTTATTCTTCATTTTCTCTAATCGTTTTTTTAAAAGCTTCCAAACTGATGGCCATTACTACGACGGCATTCACACGAAGGTGCTCAGTACGATTCCTAAATACGACTTCATGAACCCAAATGCTCAGGGTCCCCAGAATACACTGACCCCGTGAGCATAACAAACCCACGGGCTGAACAGGCACGCTTCACACGACCCGGCACTGCCTCCCATCTACCCACCCAGCCACCCATCAAAAGGCGCGCGAGCTTCCTTCGCCCTCAGGGGGCGCTGTCCTCTTTTGCCTGACGCCTGCGCCAAGCTTCACAGCGGAGGAGGGGCAATTTCCAAGCCGCCGCCGTTGGGGGAAATCAAGTGGGCGCCGCTAGCCAATCAACAAACGGCTCTTCGGTCGCGTCAGCCCACTTTTTCTTTGTCCCATCCACTGCGGTCGCCCCCCGCTCCCCGCCCCCAGCTCCCGTCTCCCTGCTCTGTAGATTCTGTCGCCATTGTCGACAGGCTGTTCGGTCAGAGCGTCTGTCTCTCTCCCCTCTCCTCCGTAAACTGTCGTTTTCTCCTGGTAGGTATATTGATTGCCCTTCGCTTGCCTGGCAACGGGAAGGAGGGTCGGTTAACCTTCTGGGGGAAAGGGAATCGGGAAGGTCGCCTCTGTGAAACTCGGACTCAGCGTGGCTCTGAGTCTCCCTCTCCCTCCCGCACCTCACCCTCCCCCCGTCCCGCCCTACTCCGCTTTTCGCGTTCCCACCGCGCCAGGTTTGTCCCTTTCGCTTTTCCGTCCAGAGCGCGTTCTGTACGCAAACTGCCCAGGTTCAGGCGCTGTTTTTTTTCCCCCCTCCCGTTTTCTCTTCAGGAGTCGCGGGAGCGCTACCCTCCCCCCTCCCTCAATGCAGGGCCGTATCGGATCCCTGCTAGAATTCAATATGAGTTTAAATTTAACCGGACGGCGCGATTGATAAGATTTCCGACACGGGGGGTTGGGGGTGGGGTGGGGGAGAATGGTGTCAGATTACATCATGTTCTCTTGCATCCAGCGAGTAAGAAACCTTTTCTGGCTTTGGGGGCTCTTCGGCTGCGCCAGACTAGAGCTCCCCTCGTTCTTCTTGGTGAGCCATGTTATAACCAACGCGGGAGCTCTAGTCTAGCGTATCTGGAGGGCACAAGGATTCAGGCAGCCAGCCAGCATAGCTGGCTGGAGAATTCTGGGAGTTGAAGTCCACCAGCCTTAAAGCTGCCAAGTTTGAAGACCTCTGGTTTAAACTATCATGCATATATGATCAATTATATGTTAAATTACTCTTAGGCGAAGTCACAAATATTTTAGGATCCGTTGCCGTTACATATGGGGGGGAAAAAAAACCTTTAAACCTGGCTTCCATCAGCTATTTTTAACCACGCGTATCCATTGTTTTAAAAAGAAATGTTACTTTCTGCAGAATTGGGGATATAAACACTAAATTATATTGACCTGAGTACTTGGTTTTTTTAAAAATAATGTAACTTGCAGAAATGGTGAAAGAAGTCAAAAGCTAAGGTCAAATGTCAAACGCCAGCACTTTTGTTGAACTTCAGCTTTGTTTTGGCAGAACTGAACCTGGAATGCTTTATTTATTCTGGGTTTGGGGGAAGCAAATTTCAGGTGAGAGACTAGGTTGAACCTCCTTCCACTTCATCAGTTTTCAATGGGTCATATCTCATGTAACCCCCATCATTCCAATACTTACTTTCCCTTTCCCAGGTTGTCACCAGTGTCCAACATGGCATATCCCACGAACTCGTCCACCTCTGATCTTCCCTTGACTTTTCTTCCCTTCCTTCATGCTCTGTCCATATTTTAGCACAGCATATCCCACCAGGCTGCAAATCCCTGACTTTCCTAGCACTTTTTACTCCCTCTTTTAACCACCAGTATCCTTGTTCCCCATCTCTACATCTGCTCAGATTAAAATAACCCCATTTTATTCCCGGCATGGATCCAGCCTCAACTATGTATATTTTAGTAGGGCCTGAACTTTTCAAAACTGACTGTTCTGCCCTTGAAACAATTTGTATACAATATTTTGCATTTCCCTAAAAACCAGAAAACCACTAATTCTAGTCCTGTTTTAAATGCAAAGCCAGGGAGGTAACTTTTCCTCTCAGCCCTAAGAAGAAAGCAAGGACAAACCACTTTTAAAAAAGGAAAATGCAGGGAGTTGTCTAGATAGTCCTTAAGAATGAAGAATGATTCCCAAGGTGTGCATACATGTGCACAAAAAATTACTACTTTATTTCTTTATGGTTGAGTCTTGAAAACTTGATTAAAATGTTCCTTAAATTATTCTTAGTGGCTACACGGATATGAATATTTTTCTTTTGTGCAGAATCGAGGTTTGCCTTTCCTATCTGTTAGGATGTTTTCATGATTTCCTAATCTAGTTTATAGGCAGTCTCCCAGTAAAGCACTAACTAGGATGGTTTACAGTACTTAAGTTTTTTTGAGATCGAGGTTGTCTAGATATTACCACTTGGAAATTTCAAACCTTGTATTGCTTATGTGAAAAATTTCCATTCTTCCCAAGTCTATTTGCAGTATAAAATATTAATTTTAAGACTAGATATATCCCTGTATCAATTTTCATATTGATACAGAGGAATACAAGGAAAATGGGGCTTCCTTTCATTCCTCTGTATCAAATTCCTGTTTGTTTTCTGAAAAATTGAAAACTTTGGGAAAACTAAATCTTTTCTAATTTTGTTTTAAATGATTCGTAAAGATAATGAAATACATTATTCTATGCAGTGAAATTACCCCATCACAAGAATTAAAGTAATATGAAGGAACAGAAACTATTCTCAGTATAGAGTAGACAAATCTTCAGAATAAATAAGAAAAAAAGTAGAAAATGATAATGATTCAGAAAGTTAGTCTGACATATCTTACATTATAAATGTATTTTCTGAGGTTTATCTTTTTTTTTTAAACCAAGTCTTTAAAAAATCTCATGGAGAATTAAAATTTGAAATATATAACTTTCTTTCATTTACTGCAGTGTTGATGTTCAGATACAGTGTTCTGTTTTTAAATGTTTACCTAAGCAGGCAAAAATGATATTATATACTCATAGTTTAGCAGCATACAGCAAATATTTAAAATATTTTAAAGTATAATATTGCACACCTTTCTACTATTCTCAACATTTTGCCTCTCCCCAAAAACTCCTTAGGAAAAAACAGATTTATCCCTCTGTTTCAAAACATTTTAATTATATTTTAAAAGCTAACCATAATGCAAATGTGGTTAAAATATTGTCTAGTATTTTACAGCTCATAATCTGAAACAGTTTATTTGATTTTCCAGAGGACTCAGAAATTGAGCTGCAGATCAATTACCAATCTGCAAAGAAAGAAATGTTTGGGGCATTGAACCCTGCCATTTCTAAACCTGTTGAGCCAACATGTGGGAATTAATTTGATGGTGCCAAAATAGCATAGATTTATTGGAAACATTTTCAGGTATTAGATATTGAGTATTCGTCTACCACTACCAGCAATTCCTGTCCAGTTGTCCTCTGCACATAATACAGCCTCACATATTTAGACGATCTATATGCTGTTTCTCCAGATGGCTGCATTATTTTATTGCTTATGATAACATTCAAGATACTAAAATTAATCTTTTAAAAATTTGTCACAACAAAAAAGTAAACTCAAGTATAATTTCCAAATACAGTCTGATTTTTTAAAAAAAACTAATCTAAAAGAAGTTTAACTGGGCAGGGTTTTTTTATTATTATTATTACAGATAGTCCTCAATTTATGACTATAAATGAACCTGGCAATTATGGAATTAAGTCATGGTCATAAAATGGATCATCACGTGACTCCAGTCCACCTTTATGACTTATATGGTGGTTGTTAAGCAAATGCTGCAGTCATTAAGCAAACCTATATGGGCTATTTTTTGCCGGACACCGCAAGTAAACACTAATTTTCAGCAAAACCATTATAAATAGCAATGTAACTGAAAGTGCTCATTACAGTTGTTCTCTGTAAACTAAACTGTTTACAGTTGTTTTCTGTAAATTAAACTCTTAAATGCTTTAATCTCTAAATGGTTGAACTGTGTAAAAGAAACAGTATTTCTTCTGTAAAGGAGAACAAAAAATTCAAAAGCTTTTGACCATTTTGATGTTCTTTTGAATCTGAAGCAAGGCTATGGTGCAAAGGTCATTTGGTTAACATGAAATGTTTATTAATGCTGAAATAAGACTATCAGATAAGCAATGAACATCCAATCAGATACAGTGTCTGGTCTATATAGTATATAGTGTTCATATAGTCTCAAGTTCCACTTGAGTGTACATTAATAATGTGAAGTATATATTACTTACCTTCTGAAGAAGATAAGTACACATTGTGTAATATATATTGAATAATAAAACCATGCATTGTATATAATTGCAGAAAATAATTTAGACATTTTTTATTATTTTTAACATAGCATCAGTAGATTTCTATTTCTGCAATCCAACACTCTGTTTTTCCCTTCCATCTCCATTATGCCTTGTGAATCTGCTATGTTGTGCTAATAAGCACTATGGTATCCATTATAATAGAGTTGGATAAGTTTGAAGCAATATAAACATTAAATAAATAATCTGGTTTTTTAGCTATAATTGCCAATTCTGAAATAAGGTCTCATCAAAATATGTTTCACTATTTTAAATCAAATATAATACTTTTAAATATATTTGGTATTGAGTGCAAGTTGCAAACATAAAATTAGTTGTTATATATTAATCCATCTGGGATTTGTTTATGGAACATTAAATCAGGCTGCTTATATGACCCCCTCCAAAAATAGTATAAAGTACATCAACAGGCAAATTGAGAACAACATTCTTAAGTCTAATTCACAACCCACGTATTTAAATCAATGGATAAAGAGCAATCTATTAATAATAGCTTCTTTCTTTTTCTTTTAGAGACTAGAACTAGCTGGGTGTTCTTTATACAATGTTTGCTTTTTAGTCTTTCTGCAACGAAGTGAGCCCTGTGGAGCTGGTAAAAACAGCTTAAATTCATGTTGATGCTTCTGTAAACAGTGGAGAGATTTATATTAAAACTTTGTATACAGAATGAAAGGTTGACAATATTAACATGTTCCTCTCTAGTTGGGTTGTGGAAGTATAACAGTTAATTTTTTTCTTTGGGTGGGCTGTCATTAAAATATATATATATTTTAACAATAATTGAGCAATCATTTAAGAGTCAAATTATATTTTAACAATCTATGAACTAATCTTTTAAAAAAACCTTTTATTTCAGGTATAGTGCAGTTTGCAGCTTGGAACATGTGTAGTGTTCTGCAAGCTGACAGTAGAAAAATGGACATGTTGAAGATTTTGCATAAAACAACAGAACACCTAGAATGTGATCACTGTAATTTCAGAGGCTCTGATTATGAGAACATACAAATTCATATGGGTACTATTCACCCTGAGTTCTGTGATGAAATGGATACTGCAGGATTGGGGAAACTTATATTTTACCAGAAAAGTGCAAAGCTATTCCACTGCCACAAATGCTTTTTTACCAGCAAAATGTACTGTAATGTCTATTATCATATCACGGCACAACACTCATTATCAGACAAACAGAAGGAAAACCAGAAAAGTGTGTTGGAAACTGAATCCCTCAAAAAGCCTGTCTTTGTGGAACCCCAAAAGCCTTCTCAGTCTCCTGAAACACAAAAATGTACTGGGTCTCCCGATTCTCAAAAGCCTGCTCCCCCTGAACTGCTAAAGTCTGATGTGGGACTACATTCCAAGACACAGAAGCCTATTTCAACAACAACCATTGAACATCAGAAATTTGTTTCGGTTGCATGTTTGGAGGCACAAAAACCTGCTCCTGTTGTACCAGAACTTCCAACTCCTGTTCCACTTGTGTCCTCAGAAACATTGAAACCCCCTCTTTCTGTCACTCCAGAACCACTGAAGCCTGCTTCAGTAGAGACTGCAGAGATACCAAAATCTCTCCCTGCTTTATCATTAGAGCCACAGAAACCTGTGACACCTACATACATTGAAACACAAAAATCCTTCCCTGTTGTAGAATCAGAAAAACCTGCTTCCTTTATATCTTCAGAACCACAGAAACCCATCCCACCTCTATCGCCAGAGGCCCAAAAGTCTGCTCAGCCTGCATCTCCACCTGTGGTTATGTCTGAAACACAGAAATTTGCTCCAGCTGTGTCTCCAGAGCCCCGCAGGCACTCTCCGACTGTATCTCCAGAGCCCCGTAGACACTCCCCTGCTGTGTCTCCAGAGCCCCGCAGGCACTCACCAGCTGTGTCTCCAGAGCTTAAGAAACCTATTGCTGGTCTATCCACAGAACCTCGTAGGCATATTTCTCAAATGAGGAGGCCTGCTTCAGCCCTTTCACCTGAACCACGTAAACCTGACCCTCCACTGTCTCCAGATCCCTGGAGACCTGTTCCAGAAACCTGGCGATCTGCTGGTAGTATTTCACATGAACAGCAGAAATCTATCACTATTTCACCTTGGTCCCCAAAACCACCTTCATCAATGTCACTTGAGCCCAGGAAACCTGCTTCAGAACCCCGAAGGCCTGGAAATAGGATGACCCCAGAATCTCAGAAGTTTATGCCGGATACTTGGAAATCTACCTCCATGCCTGAATCTCCAAAATCTAGTCTTGCTTCCTCAGAACCATGGAAACCCATTTCTTCTGTTTATCCTGAAGGTTGGAAACCTGTTTTGTCTCCTGACACATGGAGGCCATCACCATCTGTAGCACCACCTGCTCCTCCTCCAATGCCTGCAGAGCTGAGGAAACCTGCCCCCCCTATGTCATCTGACATTTGGAAACAGCCCTTCTTTTCTGAGCAACGTAAGCCTGCTCCTCCTGTATCTCCTGATCCTTGGAAATTTTCCTCCGAGTCCAGAAAATCTCCTTTCTTTCCAGAGACTCAAAAGCCAACTACTTTTGTTTCTTCTGAGTTGCAGAAACGTGCTTTGTTTTCTGAATCCCGAAAACGGGCCCTATTTCCTGAATCCAAAAAATCTGTACCTCCTGTTTCCACAGACACACAAAAACGTTCGTTCTTCCATGAAGCTCACATACCTTTTCCCGAAACCCCAAAACAGGTTGTATTTTCAGAATCTCATAGACCAACTCCTGTCTCCCCAGATGCTCCAAAGCATTCCTTCTTCCCAGATTCTCAGAAACATGCTGCTGTTTCTCCTGAAATTCAGGAGCATGCTCCCTTCTCAGATTCTCAGAAGTCACCTAGTCTCTCACATGAATTGCTAAAGTCTCCTGCAGTTTCTCCTGAAATCCAGAAACATGGTACCTTTGCTGAACTGCAGAAGTCATCTCCCGATTCCCTCGAGAAACAAAGTTTCTTTGCAGAACCCCCAAAACATTCACTTTCACCTGAGATCCAGAAATCAATTCCTTCAGATCAGAATCCAATACAGAATACAGATACCCACAAACCAGTTGAAGCAACAGGCACAGAAGTTCACAAAACTATCAATGATTTCAGTCAGCCTGCTGCACCTGTTTTTTCAGACTTGCAAACTCATAATGAATCTAGTAATAAAGATTTCTTTACTGAGCCTCCCGAAGGAGAAAATCCATTCAGTAGTTTGTTAATTCCAAAAGAACAGCCCATACAACCCAAGGAACCTACAGAAGAAATATATACCTGTCCAAAGAAGAAAGCCAAGAAAGAAAATCCAGAGATTTCTAATACAGAGTTAAATAGCAGTGAAAGTGGAAATACTGAGATGGAAACATCAGACATAAAGGAACAGGAATCCAATAGTGATCAGGAACAATTTGAAACAGAGTCTCTTGACCAAAATAAAGAAACTAAAGTTGATACTACTCCTACTCAGCCTCAGTGTGTGTTGCAGTTTACAGAAGAGAAGGAAGCTTTCATCTCAGAAGAAGAGATAGCAAAATATATGAAGCGTGGCAAAGGGAAATACTATTGTAAAATCTGTTGCTGCCGGGCAATGAAAAAGGGAGCTGTTTTGCACCATTTGGTTAATAAACATAATGTGCATAGCCCATACAAATGTGATGTGTGTGGAAAGGCATTTCTTTTGGAATCTCACCTTAAGAATCATGTTGCTGCTCATAGTCAGAGTTTGCTTAAATGTCCACGTTGTAATTTTGAGTCGAATTTCCCTAGAGGGTTTAAGAAACATCTAACCCATTGCCAAAGCCGCCATAGTGAAGAAGTCAATAAAAAACAGTTGGAAATTGCTTCTGAGCCACCTAATCAGAGCCAGCAGAGTGAAGAAGCTGGTAAGGTGCCAGAGGAGAATGCTGAACCATCAAAAGAATTCCTTAATGAACTGCAAAGTGAATGAATTTGGTTTTGAAAATTCAGAAATTCCAAATATATTGCATTGGCAATGAAGACACTGATGCTGAATTTCAGTGTATAAAACTATGTCTGCATACAGTAAATGTGATTGCAACAATTTGATGCATCGTTAAATGCATTTAAGACACTAATTAATTAAACAGTTTTGTGTTTGCTTAACTGTGTTGCAATGTAACCTTTATAATTACCAAAATAGCAGCACTACTGCCAAATTAATAAGCTTGTTCTAGATTGCACAGAATGTCACTTTTAAAACAGAAAGGAATAAAAATGGAAAATACTCAGCTGGAAAAGTGAAATTCTAGCAATTTATCCAACCAAATCCAATTTTGTATTTTGAGAAGCCTGAAACAACAGGGGCATCACCAAATGAAATCACATTAAACCTTGCATGAAATTATCTTGTTTGCCTGCAGTTGTATGTTGTTATGATTTTTAATATGTACTTGAGTTCCCATTTCAATGAATTGCTTGCTTAGGTTATTGAAATAGTTAAGATTTTTCTTGCTGTATTTGGAACACAACCTGTGTGAAATAACTAAAGTACCGTCAAATGTATTGGAAGTGTATATGTGTTGTCTTGCTTTTAAGGAATTTTCATTTAACAATAAAAAAATTTGTGTTTTGGAATTATTCACTTGTATGTGTAGCTGATGTTCCATCGACATATTTCCAGCATTGTTTACAGTAATACAGGGCTGCTTGATTCAAATTCAGATTCTATATCACATTCAGTAATATTACAGATGATCTCAATTTTCTAAATAAGTATACAATTTCAATATAAATGGTGTCAGATGCAGCAGCAAAATACAATTCTAGTATTGTATATATTGTCCTATAATATGCTTTGTACAGAGCTGCTGGCTTCAATATGTTTTTAGGGGGTGAGGGATTAGAGTTTCTGGCTGATGTACTTTGAGATGAGAAAACATTTAGATCACAGTTTTCGATACTTTAGTGCTTGGTGTTGCTCTTGGATATATTGAGTTAAATCCAAACATAATTTTTTACTACTAGAGGCAGTCGTATTTATTTTTTTACATTACAGCTTTATAGGCAAAAAATAAAACCAAAGATACTTTGCTAGTGCAAAATGTATAGAAGTTCATAATGGCATAAGAAGAACTCATAATCATAAGAATTTGCAAAATTGCTAGTGAGCAGCCTTTCATTCATTAGGGATTGTATTTGTCACTTCAAAACCAGGATTTTTTTAATAGAAAGAGATAATGACATATTTTGTATATGTTGACGTAGTCAAAGACTATATGCAGCTAAATGTTAAAGCCTAAAGATTATGTAAGAGCTCTACTTGCACCTAGAGATACTTAGGTAACAGCATCACTATGCTTTGAACAATAATTGGATTAAAAAAAAATGCAGAAGTAATCTTAGCTTTTATAGCATTACCATATTTGTTCCCATGATTTTTGCCTAGAACTTGCAAATATTTTAAACTAAAAACCATTTCAGTAATCTGTCATGTTTCACTGAGTTAAGATATGAAAGAAATTGGATTTAGGATTTACACAATGAGAATAAAGTAATGTGTACCAATTCTCAATGTCTAAAACATGTCTTAAAAAGCCATTGATTGGCTTTTAAGAATTATATTTGTGAAGGAGTTTGGCTCAGACCCACTACATCAGATGGACAGCAAAAAAAATTAATAAATTATATATATGAATTATATAAAAAGTGATAATTTACTTGTAATGCTTGCTACAATTATCTTTAATTTATTCTGCTAGAGATCCATGATATATAGTTTCTGGCTTGCACCACAGCTAAGTGGTTTGTTTCCTAATTAGTACAAAATAGAAAAATACTTAAAATACCTAAATTTTAAAATATTTAAAAATACTTAGATATCTGACACACTGACTAAATAATGTCATTTGTTTGGTTTTGATTTAGTGTATTGTGGAACTTTACCACTGCAATTTGTAAACCACATGCAGTGTATTAGCTGTTGTATGTAACTGATTTACTTTGACTCTTCCAATAACAATTATCGTTTGTTCTGTTAATAGTGTTTTGTATTTAACAGTTGGGTGGATCCACATTGTACTATTTTATAAATAGTTTACAAATCACAATAGCTGAATTAATATAATAAACAAGCCCAAACTAACTACACTATGGCTTATTACCAATACAACCAATTAATCATGATTTATTGCAATGAGTGAAACTATTTATAACGACCAGAAAATAGAGCAAGCCAGCTACACAAAATAATGGCTGCACTGTGGTTATTTAATTGTTTTCCCAAGAAAAAAGGTTTCCCATGTAATGTTTGCTGTTGTAGTAATTCTGTAATAACAATTTAGGAATACAATGAAACATTCAGATATCTGAATCTTAACACACTTGCTAAAAACTTATTTACAATATTAAGAACATTCAACCAGAGGGTATGACCAAGTCAAAACTTCTTTCAACATAGAAGGCCAATCCTTTTAAATATTTGCTGAGGAGTCCAATGTCACCCCAAATTAGTTTCATCTTAAGATAATACGAAACATTTTTAAAAGTCTGAGGCTGTTGACTTAGAATCAGGTATCCTAAGTATTCCAAATTTCATGTACATTATTAATTTATAAAAGCCTTCATTTGTTAAAATTAAATTGTTAATTTAGCTTCTAAAAACCTTTAACAGAATCCGGAATTTCTGTGACCACCAACAGAGCATACGTATGTTAAAATAGCATAGAATTCTTTATTGACCAAGTGTGATTGGACACACAAGGAATTTGTCTTTGATGCTTATACTCTCAGGGTACATAAAAGGAAAAAGAAAGAAAATATATTAATCAAGAATCATAAGATACAACACTTAGTGATAGTCATAGGTTACTAATAAGCAATCAAATCATATTTGGAAACAAGCAGAACAATATAAATCGTAAAAATACAAGCAACATGGTTATAGTCATAAGTAGGAGGAGATAGGTAATATGAAGGAAGAGAAGAATAATAGTAATACAGTCTTAGTAAATAGTTTGACAGTGTTGTGGGAATTGTCTCAGTTCAAAAAGGGCCTAACGATTTCATAAAAACTCTTAATAGCTTGTTAAGTTTGTCTAAAATATCTAAATTCAAATTGCATAACTGAAAAAAATATACCAACTGTGAAGCTATATTTGTTTTCTCATTTATTCTCCATAAGCTCATGAATATTTTCAGTCATCAGTTAATAGGCTTTATATACACTACAGTAGTTTAAAATTTATTACCAATTATTTTAGAAAATCTAAACAATTAGAATTTTTTATATTTATACACACAGTGCATAGGCACCAAGCATTTTATACACACACACACAAAATTCTTGGAATCTGTTGGAATCTACAAAAACTTAACAGAAGCCTTTGACATCTAACATACTGCTATAAAATCACCTTGGTTGAATAAATAAGTTTTAGTGCTACAATTCATATATAGCACATCAGTTCTCTATTTGGCATTTAATAGTTTTATCTGTGAACAGAATCCAAAAGACTTATCAGAATGTCAAATTTTGTTGCAAAGGAATGCGTAGGCAGGCAATGCCAGAACACTTAAGAATGTTCACTACTGGCCACTTCTGTTTGTAGAAGTATTCTCAAAAGCACTCAGGGATCCTTTATTCTAAACAAGATTGGCTTCAATTTTGTGGAACAGTAAGTGCTTCTAAACAATGAATATAAATGGAATGTTTTAATATTTAGCTACTGAGCAAGCTATGTAACTTTTACTTTCAGCCCATATGTTGTTTGCAATGGAGCATTAATTCAGATGTAATGATGTTTCTTCCTATGACTGACTATATATAACACTACTACTCATTTTTTACTATGACTAAAGATGTGGCTTTAGGAAAAGATTGGAGTTTGCCAAACAGAAGGAGTGGATGGCCTTAGTCTCTTGTATATCTCCTATTTTTATCGGCAGATTAAACCTGGATTTCAGGACATTGTGGGGAAAGCAAAATATTTCTTGATACCAAATTACTCAAAAGCACCGATTGGCACCTGCCTATGCAGAGTGTTTTAATGGAAAGGTCTGCTACAGTGGTGGATTCCTCCCGGTTCAGCCCAGTTCGGCTGAGCCGGTAGCGGTGACAATATGACATCACCGAACCAGTTCTCTTTGTCTGGGAGTTGGCCCTCCCGCCTGCCCCCGCGTTATTCCTACCTTATATTTTTTTATTTTTAGCCCAGCTGATAGGTGCGGCAGAGTGGATTGCCGCACCTCAGCTGGGAATATTGCTAACGCGCTTGCCCAAAGCATGCGCACAAAGAGAACTGGTAGTAAAGCCAGTTAGAACCCACCACTGGTCTGCTACATTTTTAATAGCTAGTTCTCTGCCTATTACAGGTAGTTCTCAACTTACAAGTGAGATCAGAATTTCTTTTTGTTAAGCAAGATGGTTGTTAAGTGAGTTGCACCCAATTTTGTGACCTTTTTGCCATGGTTGTTAAGTGAATCACTGCATTTGTTAAGTGTGCCCTGCGGTCTTCAAGCAAATCCCGCTTTCACAATTAATTTTGCTTGCAAAAGGAGCTGATTGCAAAGGTTGTTAATAGCCGCATACCCCAGGATGCTACAGCCATTGTAAATACATACTGAATGCAAGCAACTAAATTTTGATCATGTGACTATTGTATTGGTTGTGTGAGGACTGGTTGTAAGTCACATTTTTCAGTGCCGTTGTAACATTGAATGGTCACTAAATAAATGGTTGTAAGTCAAGAACTACCTGTAACATACTTTAGAAGGTATATTGATAACCATATATAAAACACTTCTAGTTCTTTCAATGGCAGAATTATTTTAAGACTGTTCACATATTAAAATCTAAACATTTAAAATAAAAATAAGATACAAATTCATAGTAAAAATTTCAAAATTTGCTGAGAATTGGCAAGAAGATTGTAATCTTCCTTTAATAGCCACAGTCAATCTCAATTAAACTAAAAGCTATTCTAAAGAACCAATTTTAAGAATCTAATTTAGAACAGTCATAGGTGTAGGCGTATTTCCAACAAGAGTGTTTTATAATACTGGGATCAACAAAGAAAAAGTCCTATTTCTTGCTCTTGACATAAGATGATTTTTTTCAAGACTCCAGGGGTTCATATAGTAGATCATTCTGTGAATGACCCTGTTTCAGGTATTACATGTTTACAAATAGTAATACTTTTCTTTCATAGAACTGCATCACTGGGAGATAGAGATTATGATGATTCCCCTCTGCCATAAATTTTCTCTTTCTTTCTTTCTTTCTTTCTTTCTTTCTTTCTTTCTTTCTTTCTTTCTTTCTTTCTTTCTTTCTTTCTTTCTTTCTTTCTTTCTTTCTTTCAACATATCTCATATTTAATCCTGCCTTTATTTTTTATAAATAACTGAAGCTGAGAAACGTACATAATATTTCCTATTTTCCCTACAAGAGCCCTGCAAAGTGAGGATGGGGGGCGGGGAGAGAGAGAGAAAAAAAATTATCAATATTTTAAAGGACAAAAGTTCACCTACTATTGCATTGCTGGACAGTTATTTAAAATAATTTTTTAAATTGTTTTAAACTAAAATGTAGAATTCAAATACCTATTTTACAATTTTCAGCAAACCCTTGGAGCCTATTCATG